GGCGGCCGGCGACCACGGTCCAGGGGGCGTAACCACGAGTGTGGAACTGGAGCTACTAAGGACCACCAAGGGTGACTAACCCAACCACGGGCGGCCATTAGTAAAACGAGCTTATTTTCCTGCTCAGAATGAAATAATTCAAAGACTCTTCTCCAAATGAGTTCACCTAGACTCTAGAGCAGCTTTGTATTTTGGCCTTTGGGTGTCATTCGTTTGACGCTCCATGTTTAATTCCTGTTTTACTTTTGCGTTCATTTATCCAGCATCCTGATCTTAAATGTCAAATTTCCTATGACGGGGATCTTCAGTATCGCCGGCCGACTGGTGATGATACCATCACGAAAGAATGCGCTGCCTCCATTAGTTCGTGACCTAAATCCCTGCCCGCACCGCCGGCCCGTTTCCTCTATTGCTCGGTCTGGCGCGTCAGAAGTTGACCACGAACCCTCGTCCGGTCTGGGCGGAATGCTCATTTTGCCAGAGTCGGTGTCTGACCGTCGCGTCGGAGGGGCTCGCCCGTAGCGGGGTCAAAGCGAGGTGCCGGCATCATGGCCGTCTCCGAGGTCACTCCTCCCGCTCCCTCCCCCCGCCCCGCCCCGCCCACGGAAGGCACGGCTGGGGGCCATCGATCACTGGAGGGCTCGCCTGAGCCGCGCGGCTCGCCAACATTTCACTCCGCCAAGTGAAAGGGATGCGGGCGTCTGGCACACGTCTGAGGTCGCTCCGTCGTCCCTGTCAGCGGGAAAAGGGTGCCGTCGGGTGGAGAGGCGGGACTTGAAACCGCATGCCCGGCGTTTATTCGGTTGTGACTGGCTAATTAACATGAAATCGATGTTATTTATTGTGATCGTTGAAGCTGCAAAATCATTGCAAGCCAACACCTTAACTCCCCCCTCCCCCCACACACACAAAACTTGACAGATGCATGAGAGAACCGTATTTTGACATTTTTCCTTAAATGAAAATAATGTCTGAGGCTATGTCGGTTATGATAATTATGAGAAATGAAGACGCGCAGTAGTTGCTAGCCTCTGAGAACAGACGGCAGTTGGCCCAAACAAAGGGCATCTGACCACCGGCCAGCAACTGTCATCGCGGGTCTATTTCTGCGCGAGATATAAAAGTTGGTAATTATAAGACGGGAAGGAGACGTCTTTCCGGGCTCTGCTACCCAATGTGGGAAGTTGTTGAGTGAGATTCGTTATGGCCCTCCATATTCGAATAAATTCGGCTATTTTCGTATGGAAAAGATTTGAAGGATGCAATCCTTTCGTGGTTACCATCCGACCTTCTTCCAAACAATCGGCAAATCTTGCTTGTCCTGTGTTGTTCTGCGCTTGGTTGGGGACTTTGCTGAGCCGACCAGACAATTGTTTGTTCCCTCTCAGTCGGGGGCAAAGCCCATTGCGCCGACACCCCTGTCATTTGCCAGCAGTGGGGGTGTGTCAGGGCGTATTCCCCAGCTGTGAAGCTATACTGTAGGGATTACCAGCGCACAGCTGGGCTCCAGTCCACAGTTCAGCTACAGGGACAACACGGAAGGACCGCAGTTATGCTGACGTGGCGAGGACGACTGGCGTCGTTCACTGGGGAGATATCACGCTCGGTTACCGGGAGTGTGATGTCATAAGGGCAGTCCGTGAGTCGTGATTCACGGGCAGGCCGCACGCCCCTTCTCAGGGGACGCCAGAGGCGGTCCAAGAACTGTAGGACGGTGCACAGCTGCACGATACCCTGGGGAGTGCTCGAAGCACAAGTCATCGTGGTTAGGCGAACTGCCGGGTACAGCTGTGTGCAGCGCAGTTTTGGATTGACGAAGTTACCGATACAGACACAGCTGCGATGCTGGGTTTCACTGTCCATGTAGCGTCGATATAAGGGGCGTGTTTAATGGGGAAGTCAGCCCACTTAAGGGGCACAGGTCAACTGAAGTGATGAGTACTGAATGCGCACATGGGCTATCCAAGCTTACCCATGTGCTGCAGCGGCCGAGGATAGCTATCAGTAGTATCTGCGCTCGCATATCTACGACGTGCGCTTCATCGCTCTACTTTTTATTTTAAATCAGCTCTGATTTTTATAGTGCATCCCTCTTATCAACTCCGATAGTGTCGGCTCGTTTTTGGTACTCGACCCTAAAGCCGAATTTAGAATGGCGCCTGATAAGTGATAACCATGACGCACCTCCGTAAAGCCTCCATAAAAAGGTTATTCCGCGACCACTCCATCCAATCCCGCCTCTCTACCAGGCTTTCCTTTCTTCCTATATGTCCGTTTTCCTCCGAATTAGTTACCTATCGTTATCCTCCCTTCCCAAACTCCGAACCACACTTTCCTATCGCCCTGTCACTGGGTGTTGCGTTCGCTTGGCGAAAATCGAATCCGAACCACCGATCAACGGTCCGCTACTCACTAAATGTGGGAATTGTGCCTGCGATTATGACTGGTCGGCCAGCGCTGGTTTGAGCTGAGCTGTGCTGTGCTGCGCCGTGCTGTGCTGGGCTGGGCGTGTTGCTGGGCGGAGAAAACTGCCCTGAACTGGCAGACACCCGCTAGTCGGGCTCTCGCCGTAAATTGTGCTGGAGGAGCTCTACTCCAGTTGCGTAGTGGTGGCGCAGTGAGGAGCGGCTGCGATGGTTCCGGTGGGGGGGGGGGGGAGACGTGGGCGGGGTGTTCAATGAACGATTGCTCGCCTGAGAGCTGAGATTGGTCTCGTATATGGCGCAGCGGTGCCTTATAAGGCACTGAGGCCGGCTATTGTAGAAATGGCTGTAGCGCGCACTATGCGGTGCCTTCAAAAACGTGCCATGGGTATAATGAAGATGTCACGATGACTGGCTTGGGTGACATGAGAAGGGGTTTTATGTCTGTATCTAAGATAAGCAGAGATCAAATGGAACAAAGTCGTGGTTTTATTACCTTTATCATGTCTTTCTCATTCATGAGTCCAATTTTATTGATGATATCTTTGGTTTTCCCCACATCTTGATTGACCTTCCTCAATTTGGTGGTGCTATCACTGTTTGAATATTCATTACTTTTCCCCGTTATTAAGTGTACAGAAAATATGCTATTATCTCGGCATCACATTCGTTGTCGCAAATGAATTTCGTGCACTAGAGTGTGAAAAACAAGGAATTTTACCCAGTGACAATAGCATGTGCTGTGGACATTGTCTGAAGATTGGATATGTTATTTAGACGGGTAACACATCTGGAAGGACTCGATATTTTTTTTATACCGTAAGGTCAGAGCCACGTACTCTTTTTAAACTGAAGGATTCTCTATCGTTGACCCAAGCAACTAAATTCCGTATCATTGCTGTGTAGCTCACTGATAGGCAAAACATTATTATTTTACAGCTGTTGACATTCATGACGGCGTAAGCATCACTTGTAAAAAATCATTCATCGCTTTGATTTGATTGCCCCGTTTTTTTTTTTAGTGAGGCTCCATTAAGTTGAGTGGACCGTGGCGTTATAATAAAACAGGTGCCTACCAGACATGTGCATGGATCCGAGCGATGGATCTATGATCTCAGTGGATCTCGAAGCAAACTGCAGGTTACGATCTATGATCCCATCGGATCCGGCGTGAAAAATTCATCTTGGATCTATGATCTCATACGATCTGACGATAAATCAAGAACATGGATCTATGATCTGAGTGGATCCCACCATGCACAACATTTGAAACCATGTTTTAAAGGGTTTCCTTGTCAATAAGTGCCACAAAATTATGGATCATGACGTGCGAGCACATAAAATCACTAAAACAGAACGTTTATGAGTTGCAACAAGTGTTTTGGGGGGATTTCTGTGTTGACAAAAAAATAAGTGAGGATCTATGATCTCACTGGATCTCAAGTAAAACACGAGACTCGGATCTGTGATCCCTACGCATCTCTCGATAAATTTGAGAGCTGGATCTATGATCCCGTCGGATCCGAGATCAGGATCCGTGGGATCAGATCCAAGATCCATTTTCTCGGATCTATGCTCATGTCTGGTGCCTACATAAACTATATATTTGATACGGACATCAAACAGGAATATTCCGCTATATGTACCCTTGTAACGAACCTTAACAGATAGTCCGATTTGACTGTTATACTTTTCCACCCTGGTGTAAAAACTCGCTGGATCCCTGGAACCGGTTTGGGTTTATGTCGGTTTTTGTCCGGGCCAAGCCCAGCATTAGTGTGAAGGGCGCTCACTAATGGTTTTGCTGGTGTGATAATGCGTGGCCTGGCACTGGAGATAATACCCAATTAATGTAATTGCGCAATGGATGTTGAGCTACCTGTAGCGTGCCGGCTGCTGCGTAGTTAATGCCACTTCCGTGTCTTTAAAGTCGGAACATACTGGTATATGGCTATAAATGACCTTGTTTTAAGTAGGCAGGAATGAGATGGATTTATGCTTGACTTTGGATTGCAAACACCTACTCGTATCATGCACCTTTGATATTCATGTGGTTCGGAAGTTATCTAACCCAGCCGTCTGCGGGAATCTGGTGCAAATTAGCGATTATTGGAATTGGAACCGTTGATGATTGACGCAGTGAAGGCGAGCTAAATCCCACTTTTACGCTTTCATTGACACTTCCTAGAAAAAGAATGTCCTCTGGGGACTGGGTGGCACATCTATTTTGGGGTCTTTTTACTCATTCCCATGCTGTGCCAATTGCTTGATTACTCTGATACTGTGCGACCTTCTCATCAGTTTTCCAAATTTACCCTCTGGTCGTCCCTCTAGCCTGCTGTCAACCCCCTGCCTAGCCCACCTCAGGTGCTAGAGGATGTCCGAGAAGCCCCTGCAACCTAGCCTGCTGCCAAGCGCGGTCCAGCAGCTAAACCCTCACACAGTCCGCCGTTTTAGCTGAGTAATCCCCCGTCAGTCAAACACGCACTGTTCGACCGCCAGCGCCGTCGCGCCGGCGCCGTCGATCCCGTGTCGTCACTCCACAATGCTGACCGGCCGCCTATTTTCGCCCGACAGATCCGCTGGCAGGATGGGTCGATCAGAAGATGCCTCCCCAGGCCTGGGACTTCCCGATGGTGTCGCCACCTATGTTGGATGATGTGCTGCCCTCTTTCGAGCCGCTGCCGCCGCCGCCGCCGCCGCCTCTGCCGCCGTACCAGCCGCTGGAGGCGCCCTGTGAGGATGGCCTCATCCCGGATGACCTCCAGGTATGATGGGGTGGGGTATGGTAGCGCAGCATGGAGTGTATTGTGGGTATGAGATAGGTAGACGGCGTTGTTTGTAGGTCTAAATGGTTGGCACGTTTGATGTTATGTCTTGTGTTACTTTTTGTTGGAGGACCCGACGCAAATGGGACTAAGAAAATGTGCAAGACTTATTTATAAGTATGGGTCCGTGATGAGATTTTCTTATTGACCACTTACTCGTGATATGTGATTGCCTATCATCTATCGACAGAAATTTGCCCTGGAAAGTGTTGCTATGACGATCTGAATGTCAATGATAGTTCTTTGTTGGTTACCCGGTCCATCATATGATCGCATGACCTGACTACCAATGATCTCGTGACCGGATCTTTCTCTCCAACCTCCAGGACCTGTTCCTGGGTCCCTCGGAGCCGGTGCCGTCCCTGCCGACGTGCGAGGCCAACTGTCTGCTGGACGAGCTGCTGTCCGCCCCGCCCAGCCCCCCGATGTTCGACACTCTCACTCCGCCTCCGCCACTCTCTCCTCCCGAGGGGAGTCTGTGCACGAGCACGGCTGGAGGAAGTGTGGCCTCCAGCGCCGGGGGGAGCCCGGTGGGCTGTCTGGCCCCGGAGCCGCTCGTGGAGCTGATGCCACCGCCGGCTATGTCGCCCGACCCGCTCATGCCGCAACAGGTTAGTATGAGGGAGGGGCTAGACAACCTTAGGAAGGGCATGAGGAAGGGGAGGGGGATTCGATTGAGGGAAAGAGAGGGAAGGGAAGGGAAAGGAAAGAGAAGGGCCAGGAGAATGAAGATAATGGATATGAAGAGGGAAGAAGGACGGAGGGAACGAGGAGAGGAGTTGAGGGAGTTGAGGGTGCGTCAGTATGGTTGGCTGTGGCTGGTATTTGTAGAATGTATCTGATCATGTCGGTTCGCTGACGTCGACAGGATTGATGAATCGTTACTTCGGTCAACTGGTGTTGGCGTGTGGAATTTGATGGAGTAGTTTGTTTTAGCGTCAGGATTCGTCAGTCGAGAGCTGGTTTACTGGAATGAGCCCTTAGCGGCATTAGTCTCGACACGTATCCAGTTCATACTGGACACTGGTTTCAGAGGCTTGGGCTTGTGCCCACAATAGCGCTACGCCGGTGCTGCCCTCTGCCGTTAAATCGAGGATTCGCCTGCAGGCAGGGATCAGCCTGTATTTTCATAAGTGGCGCTCTGGCGTCCGCCTCCGGCCTGCTCTCAGTTTCACAGACACTCCAAACGGGTACAGTTCAAAACAGTTCGGGTTACAGTTCCAAACGGGTCCAAACGCTAGAGTTGACGACAAAATTCAGGCTTCTTTTATCTCTTGATCAGCATGGGCAATGAGGCATTGCGTACCATTGCTAGACTATTATTTACCAGCAGTTACGAGTTGGTTTATAAACTTATCGAGTCGTTAAATCCTGTTGAATTAGAATACATTGCGCGAGTTGCAGCTAACGCATGCTACCTGCGTACTGCAGCGAAGGGCCATATGAGGACATGTTAGCCGAAAAGTTTAAGGGCAGTTGAGGGAACCTTTTTAGGAACTTTTTTTTTACAAAATTTTATCTTTGTTGTTACCTCTGAAGAAACGAAATCTTGTTTGTGTGATTTATAACTCGTTTCGTTTGTCAAGAATATGTCTACGTCCCTGTTATTCGAGTGTCGATAACTAATAAGTCCCAATAGCTACGGCTGTTTGTTGTTACTTCGCTATTTTCGCCTAGCCTTTCCTGTGTTTAGAAAGTTCTACATAGTGACGCTTGGACAAGGGAAATTTCCGAACTTGTTAAGCTATCAAGTGCTCTTCATTGACGTCATAAGCAGGACGATTAGCTTATCCTAATGACGATCATCTACTCTATCAGTTCTGCGCTCATTGATTTTGACGACGTACTCTCATGTCTAAAATTAGAGGAGCTCTTTTCAGAACAACTGGAGCCTAGACAGTGATGCAATGGCTCTTCTCATGAGTAATTATGCATACTGCATTTGAGGCTCTGACGTTTACTTGTTCACTTGGAACGAAACAGCATAGAACGTGTCATGGGTGTGTAAAAATGTACGGCTTTTCCACCCAATCACTTGTCTCGATATTTGATATATTCGACGCCCTATGAAGAGAGGCTGTTGACTTCGCATTATGCACGACTGGTTCTTGTTTTGTGGGCGAATCGTTCGATCGATCGCTGGGACTTTCTGTAACGTCGTCAGCCGTTGGGAGCAAGAAGAGCCACATTAGCAGCTTTCGAGGGCTTGTCCGCACCACAACAACACGGTCCAGGATGACACGGCAGTTACACCAGCAAATAGTGGCACAGCAGCCCTCGTGTGCATGCATGCATGCATGCATGCTCAGTCGTTTTGCATCACTTGTTCCCATTTGCATTGTTTTGGTAGGAGAGGCAGGCATGCCGGACATCGGCTTGTGTTTAAGTAGCTGGGAATGGCGCACGTGGTTGCATCATTTCCGTTAGCGGACCTCCGAGTGCACGTGCATTATGTCTCGTCGGTGCCTGACACGGGTCGATACACGCCGCAGCAGAGACGCAGTTAGGGGTGGGGTCGATGTCGGGTGTTATTGTGTAATCGGAAAACCATCTGGAAAACGTATGTCTGACTCCTCGCTCACAAATCGTTTGAATCATCAAAATTGACTTCTGAGGCGCTAATGCGCTCTAGAGCAATCCAATGTCTTGGTGATATAGAATGCGTAGAGCCTGCTTTCACAGGCATTTGCATTTCATTGATGCGACGTGTATGTTGAAAACGATACATGATGTGTGTGAAAACACGGATTTTTCAGTTTTGGAAGAAAAAAATGAACGTAAAGGTGCACAATGCACAATGCATCGGCCATCGATGCTGCATTTACTATTCCCTCAAAACGGCATTGTTAGTTACGGCCCTTGCCGATAGATATCCCTAGTATCGTGCGCCTGAAGGTATGCTGTGCCGCTGTACTCGATATTAGTGCGTTCAGCGGCCGACAGATGTCCCTAGTACCGCGCGCCTGAAGCTATGCTGCGCCACATTGCTTGATATTAGTTCGTAAAGCGGCCGACAGATGTCCTTAGTACCGCACGCCTGAAAGTATGCTGTGCCGCTACACCTGCTTACAGAATCTCCCGCTAGATGGCAGGTGAATCAGATAGGGAGGTCCCACGATCGCTCCGCCACCTGGCGACTGTGGGACTGTTTCGCAGAGGTACCGCCAGGCGACCACGCGTCGCGGTTGTGTTCGATGAACACTGAACAGTGAGCAGCGTGTGACATTGGGAGTAGTTTTTAGTTTTTTTTTCTTGCAATGGTACCGTTTTCCAGAAGATATCTTTAGTGTTGTAAAATAAGACATCAATTCGCGAAATCTTGTCTAGGAAGCACATCATCAGGGTGTTTCTTTGTTTCGATATTTCACGGATTCAGGCTTCAGGACATTTTCCATTAGCTCATGCCTTAAAGTTCGATGACTTTTCTCGTAAGATTCTCTCTAAAGTATGATTGATTTAACACCTTTCGCCAGTGGCTCAGGAATAAAATCAAAAGGGGTCAACAGATGGCACAGGGTATTTGTCACCCCTCCGTATTATCAGCATAAATTTGAAAATCAAGGAAAGAAACTCCTGGGGCATTCCACGATAGATCGTACCAGGCCCGTCACCCTCATCTCTCAGATTTGAATGAAAATTGGTACAAGGGGTAATCATAGGCTCCAAAAACACCTGCCAAAATATCAGACTTCTCAGATGAAAACTTTTTGAGTTACATTGCATAATATTTTCTAAACTTCAGATTGTAAGGGTGAGTTTGATGAGCTATAACTCAAAAACGAGCTAAGCAAGCAACAAACGGTAAACAGCTTTGAACTAACGATGAATCAAAGATTAATACAGTATTTTTAAAATTGGAAAGAAAAGCTGTACATTTTGAAAAAAAGTCGTAGTATTTTTTTAAATTGTCTATAATGGCCCTTGGGACCAAAATTTTTGCCATTTTTATTTCTTCAAAATAAACCTCAGGTCCTTTAAAATCGACATGCAAAAAATTAGAAAGGTGTTCTTTCTATAAGTTCCTCATTTAAATGTATACAAAATGGGTTTCCGGGGGTTCGGTACGGCCCCAGCTCGCCGTTACGCCTCTAATGGAGCTAGAACCTTGCGGAAAAAACGAGCATGTGCGCCGTTATAAGATGCATTGAATGATACCACATTGTAAGGTCTCGGGTTCATTGGTGACCCCTGAGGTCATTTCAAGTGACCCAAATTACGGGTCCGGTTTTTGATAGATAACTTCGCAACAAATGGTCGTATAGAGCCGCGATTTTAGCATCTTTGTTGTCGCCGACAAACTGTCGTTCGGAGTTCTTTTCTGGTTGGATGTGGACTGTATTTTATTCGGTGAGTTTGTGCGACATTCGTAGCCCGCCCGCCTGCTATGTGAGCTCCTGGGTTTTTGATATTCGGCGATTTACAGTTGTAGATAGACGTGAAGATTTCCCGTAGAGGATTTATTGAAGTATACGCGAAGCAAGAAGCGGAAGCAGTTGTGAAGAAAACCGGTAGATGAAACACGCAGACACGGAGCACAATTCACTTTCGCTGTACAATCTGAAGCACTGACACTGCCCCGCCGGGCGCGGCTGCGCGCAGGAGAGTCGGTCTGCGCGCGTGCTTCTGTACTCTGTCCCCGCTCAGCCGGGCGAGGCGTCGAGCGGGGCAGATCAGTCCGTGCGCACAGCGCGACAGTCGAAGTGAGACTCTGCCGGGGTCGTACGTGACCCACATTTTATACGCAATGCTTAAGACGTGTGCAAAACGAGTGCGAACTTGCACTGCAGCGGGGAGGTGGCTGAAGGCGCCAGCTTGGCGGCCTACGTGCCTTAAAACGACGTGTCTTTAATTTATATCTCTGTCTCGGTGGCGGCCGCGGCGCTGCTGCGGCTCGGCAGCGTCGGCGGCACGCGTACCGACCGCCGGCCGCGTCTGCTCGCGGCCCCGCCCCGCACAATGCCTCACAACTCATCCTGAGTCTGGACGGGGTGACGGCGGTGCGGCGGCGGGACGGCTGCAGCGAGCGGCGGCGGCGCCGCGGTGGCACGGCGGCCGGCCGGCTATCACGGCGGCACAGCGGTAGCGCGGGTTGGTCCGAGCACTTTCGTCGGTGACATTTGTGTTTGCCTAGCTCCGGCGCGTCGAATGGTATACTGTTTGTTCTGGTGAGGTCAGCTTAAGTCGCTGACCTCGGGTCAGCACACTGCCGTGTATTTGGCTCCGCTCCCCGACCGGGCGGCCCAGCCGGCAGCCAGCCGCCGGGCATCACGTGACCGCCCCGAGTCCGCGGCAAAGCCAACCAGCGCGGCGCTGGACAAACAGCGCCGCTACAGAGATGGTTAACAGTCCGGTCAGGCCACGAAGCTGGGTGAATGAGATCATATTGCACATCATTCGATTCGCAACGTCTTCCCGAGTCCATTGGTAGCTTTCCCGTCTCTCTAGCTCAATTTGATCGAGAGTTATTGACGAAAAACTCTTATGACCCCAGTGACGTACGAATGACGTCACGCAAGGTCAACAATGCAAAAATGAGGCAAAAATGACTTTAATTGAACTTTCAGTAACCAGTGATGTCACTAGGCAGCTTTACCACACCATTTGTAGGCTCTCTTCCGAAATCACAATTCGAGACTATAACGGTGACGCAAAATAAGTACATTTATAGAAAGAACACCTTCCTAATTTTTTGCATACAACTTAAAAATGATCCAAAAATGTTTTAAAGTAAATAAAAATCCAAAAAAAAATTGGTCCCAAAGGCATAAAAATGCAAATGAAAAGAAACTCGGGGTGTTATATATCAAAAATAATATAAATTTCAAAATTTTAAAAATGCATATTATTCTTTGTTTCAATGCAAGTTCAATGCCGTATAGCATTTGGGATTTGGATTATCCGTCTTAGAGTTACAGCCCGCCAAACTTGGGGCTGCAACGCAAGATCCAAAACATGTTATACACTATAACTCAAAAACCACTCATCTGATAAGCCTGAAATTGTTACAGGAGGATTCAGAGCCCCTGATTACCCCTTAGACCAATTATCGTTAAAATCCGAGAGATGAGGGTGTCAAATTGGAAAAAAGTGGTACGATCTATCGTGGAATGCCCCTCCTACCAACCAGTATAACGCCTTATGGGGCGACTAACGGAGCGAGCGAGGGGGTGAGTCTTGCACGTGCGAAATTTCGAGGGGGTACCTCCAACTGACTTGTGCACGGCACCCTACTAACCGGTCTCTAGCGATGTGCCAAATTTGGGCACAATCGGCCCAGCCGTTCTCGAGATCTGGAAGCGGCACCCTGCACGTGCGCACGTGCAAAATGGGTCCCAACTGACTTGTACACGGCACCCTACTAACCGGTCCCAAACTGTGTACCAAATTTGAGCGCAATCGGTCGAGCCGTTCTCGAGATCTGGAAACGACCCCTGCACGTGCGCACGTGCAGCAGCACCCCAACTCTGGCACATGGATATGCAGTGCCTAGTGGGTGCCTACCTACATGCCAACTTTCAGCGTAATCGGCCAAGTAGTTACCGAGATATTGCAACAATTGCAAAACTGACACCTCTTCGTTTTGCACGTGGCACGTGCATAAGGGGTCACCCACATGCATCGGGAATAGTCCAATACTTGGTAGAAGGAATGAAGCTACCCTACAAAAATTACCGCATGTAAATCGGTCAAGTGGTTGCTGAGATATAAGCCTCGCAAAAGCGTCCGCACGGCCGGCCGGCCGCTCATACTCAGAAATTTCCGTTATTCTACGTAAGACTCCGCTCGCTTCGCTCGCTCCGTAAAAACCAGTATAGCGCCTTTTGGGGCGACTAACGGAGCGAGCGAGGGGGTGAGTCTTGCACGTGCGAAATTTCGAGGGGGTACCTCCAACTGACTTGTGCACGGCACCCTACTGACCGGTTTCTAGCGATGTGCCAAATTTGAGCACAATCGGCCCAGCCGTTCTCGAGATCTGGGAGCGGCACCTGCACGTGCGCACGTGCAAAATGGGTCCCAACTGACTTGTGCACGGCACCCTACTAACTGGTCCCTAACCGTGTACCAAATTTGAGCGCCATCGGTCCAGCCGTTCTCGAGATCTGGAAACGACCCCTGCACGTGCGCACGTGCAGCAGCACCCCAACTCTGGCACATGGATATGCAGTGCCTAGTGGGTGCCTACCTACATGCCAACTTTGAGCGCAATCGGCCAAGTAGTTACCGAGATATTGCAACAATTACAAAACTGACACCTCTTCGTTTTGCACGTGGCACGTGCATAAGGGGTCACCCACATGCATCGGGAATAGTCCAATACTTGGTAGAAGGAATGAAGCTACCCTACAAAAATTACCGCGTGTAAATCGGTCAAGTGGTTGCTGAGATATAAGCCTCGCAAAAGCGTCCGCACGGCCGGCCGGCCGGCCGGCCGCTCATACTCAGAAATTTCCGTTAATCTAAGTAAAGACTCCGCTCGCTTCGCTCGCTCCGTAACCAGTGACAAAAGTGTTCGATTGATTGAATTCGTCGTTCCTAAGCGCTAAACGTCAGCAAATAATATTTATCTCGCGTTAGTGCGCATTTAGTTGCATCGCTGACTTTCATTGAATAAAATGAATCTAAAAAAGTATGCAGCCGCCGTTTCCTTGCGACATTGGCAAGATTCCTGTGGACCAAATCAGTTACATAATCGCCCTTGCGACCACGGCGGTTAGTGCGCAGCTGGGGTTGGAAGCTGGGGGCCGGGCTCAGTCGAGCTGCGCACAATTGAGAGCTGGGTACTGGGTAGAGTGCAGGCCTGAGCTGCGCATGATACTAGACACTGGAGGCGAAAGTTACGCACGGTACTGGTCTGAGGTAGTTGTGGCGTAGCTTGATGCATGCGGTAAGGGGCTGCGATAGAGGCAAGTTGCCCACGGTACTAACAGGGGAGTTGCCTTATGCACACGGCACAGGGTCGGATAGATCCCAGTTGCACACGGTCCATAGCCGAGGAAGGAGAAAATTCACGCGATTCATGCTCAGATCAAGACAATCTGCACACAGTACTATTTTGGGCAGGTGGCACAGGTGCTATCTGGTTCTTGCCATGTTTACTTTCATGACATCAGGTATTATGACACTATTGCTGGCGAGTGGCAGCCCGATATCTGCAATCTATCACTGTCGAGGAATGCGGATCGGTGTATTGCATGTTGATAGAGGGATAGCACGCGCCCGTGGGTTGCATATGTGTTCATTTCTGAATAACATTTATCATGTGTAAATTAGGTAAAGTCACTTGGTGGGAAAAGGTTTGTTGGACAAAACTGTGCTAGTTTGCTTTTATAAAGGCGATCCAAAACTGTCGACTCAGGTCGCCGAGTGGCTGGGGGCCAGACAGTGCTCGAGGGGGCCACCTGCCACTATCAGGGGTCATAGGGTCCGGTGGGGTCGGAGGTCGCCAAACGCAGTTGTTGCAAGTCATCGGGCGGTCTGAGCTTGAACCTAACACCGGAACTGTTCTTGCTATAAAGCATATTCAAGCATTTATTATCAGTTTAATTATAAGAAATGTAATAGTGACATGAATCATTAAAATGTTTTGGTAGTCTCATGCCTTTTCCAGCGGGGATCACTTTATGATTGCATGGACAAAGCATGTCCATGTGCGAATATTGCATCAATGGTGGACTAAATTTGTTAAGCCATTTTTTGCATTTGATATTAGACTGTTGGGTTTTCGGTCACAAGGAAGCGACACTTTGTTGTAGAACTGTAATATATCATTTTTTCAATAAACAAATATACAAATAAACAGATTAACGTGCAATGCGCTTGTCTTGGTCCAAGCTGCCTTGAGCAAAAAAAAGCATATGTTATAAAAAGTTACACTACCTACCTAAACAAGCAGCGGCACTTGCTGCCACCGTTCACTGCAGTCCAAACATGCCCGTGCATGCCACATTTGTCTCGCTGCCGCGTTCCCGTTCGTTCCACACCGGCCGACCGTTCTCACCCTCAGCGACCTCCCGATTTCGTCAGACGGATTCTAGTCGGCCGTTTTTGTGACCTCCCGCCATTTGGCACTGATCGTATGAATACGTCAGAGGGAGACCTGGGGACGGGAGGTGACATGACCGCTGCTACTGTCGTCCTTAGCGAACGGGAAAATCGAGAGCTCGGGAACTCAGCGGCACTGGAACCCGGTGGCCACCGCCGCTGCTGCTGCGCCGAGTCACAGTCTGATGCAATATCAGGCTGGGGCGGAGGGGGGGGGGGGCGCCCCGGACCGACCGCGAGCTCTCAGTCAGTGAGCCGCCGCTGCGCGCTGAGCAGAGAGTCCGACGCTGTAGTGGCGTTGTACTTGTGTGGTACGAGTGGTACAGAAGATAGTGGTGTACTTTGGTGTACCTGAGAGTTAGTGTGAAGACGTGAGAGTAACAAGTTTTGTGGAGCTCGGCTAAATAAGAAGTTTCTTAACATTGTTGGAGCTTTTGAGCAATATCTACCTGTGGTGGTGGTTTGGGATAGGGCCAGTATCGTTGGAACCATTCTTACTGTGAATATAGTGAGCAAGATCTATTGTTCAGAGTTGAGTTCTTCACGTGCGAACGTGCAAGAAGTGTGGGAGGATTCGCTGCTCCCAGCGAAAGACCACCAGGAAGACCATCTCAGTACCCATTCCACGGAGTGACTGAGGTCCCAGCCATGTCTGGCGGAGAAGTGCAGTGTCTGCGCCAGCCTGCCTGGCCCGGCGTGATCCGATGGAACTGGCGAGCTCTCTATCCCGTCCCGGTTGACCTGAGGGTCCCACAGGCGGCGATACCGACATTTGCGGAAAAACAGGTGCGACATGAGGCACAAACCTTGCCAGTCTCAGTGTCGGTCAATGTTGGGATACGGGTGGTATCCGACGTGTATTTGATTGTGCTGTGTGCACCGCTCCGACGTCTTATCGCGGTCATAACAGTCACCATTGCATCATCCCCGCCGCTCGCGTCACCTGTCGGCGGACGCTTCTAACTATAGTTCCCGTTTCTGTCGTCAGATGTCTCTGGACCACTGGGTGCCAACGCTGTCGCCGCCCCTGCCGGAGCCGCTGTCGCCTCCCAGTGGCTGCGACGAGTCACGTGGTCTGATGGCGACGCCTCCTGATTGGTCGCCGCCGACGCTGGCCCCGCCCGCCAAACGTCGCCAGGCTCGACCCCGACCCTACGACAAGCAGGCCCGCCGCCAGATCACTGAGGAGGAAAGGCGGCAGCGCAAGAAGGAACAGAACAAGTCGGCCGCTACCCGGTTAGTGAGGGAACGGGGAGCTGACCCTGTGGTGTGACCTGACCTGATATGTTCACGTGGTGGAAACTGACGAGTGGCATGACAGTGTAATTGAACAGGCGTTTTGTGACCTGACCTGATGGCTGATGTGGTATGTGGGCTGACTCGGTGTGATGTGACCTACCTCTTCTGGCTAGTCACTATTGAGCGTCTGATATGGCTTTATCAGGCATTGGACAACATAAATATCCCTAGCCTCATGTGTTATTCAGTAGCGGAGGAAAACCTTCAATTAAGGGAGGGTGGGGGGGGGGGGCACTGCCGACTTTTGGTCGGCCATTCTTTACATGCAACGCCTATTGGGCTAATGTTAAAATGCCAAAATCAAAGGGGGGCAGGGTGCCCCGGTGCCCTCCCCGTTCCGCCGCCTATGGTGTTATTGTCCGCTGCTTGGACTCGCTTTACCAAATCTTATAGAACCGACAATTCAGCTCAGCTGCTTCTGAAATATACTTCTTTCTGTCCAGCAACCTTGGGTCGCACCTTGAAGGCTCTTTCCCGTTAGTTCCTCACACTAACCTGTACCCGATCACATGCCCGGCACACTATACCTCCCTGACTCACTTCACCCGCGCTGAATTGTTTTGGGACGTGGCTCCGCAAATGCTGGGGGGATTACCGTTATCGTCTTGTCCTGTGGCTGGCTTGTGGCTTATTTCGAACAACGCTCGCCTGAACACCGTCTGATGCAAGCCCCGAGCCGTATTGCATCAAACGCCTTGAGACTGACGCAGCGTTTGCCCGGATTAAGTCAACGCTGGCACGTTGTTGTATTTAGTCTGTGGTGTTTCCGGGTGGGCGCATGTTTAACTGTTACGTTTTGTTCAGGCTGCCGAGGGTTTTCGTTGCGTTTATTTTGTTGTGGTGAAGCTGAAGGTGGAGGAAGGAGATTACGAGTTGTGAGCTTCTCTGTTAGAGCCCCTTTTTCATTCATTACTAATTATTAACGAATCTCTGGACTAAAAACTAATTAGCAATCCTTGTTTATGTAGGTATAACAAGTTAATAACCTCTTGGAAAACTCTTACTAATCGTGTACAGTTGTATGTACATGATCTGAGCGGCGCGCGTGCCAGTGTACACATCATTCTGACGTGCACAAAAAGTGAAAAGTTTAGCATAGAACGTGATGCAGCCTACATCACCAGCTAACCTTCCCCATCTCCTTCGGCAGCTATCGCCAGAAGAAGAAGGAGGAGCAGGAACTGATCAGCACGGACCAGGAGCAGCTGGAGGCGCACAACGCTCAGCTGAAGGAGCGAGTGAACACACTGACCAGGGAGCTCTCCTACCTGAAGCACCTCATGAAGGAGGTCATCAAGTTCAAGCGCTCCATGTAGTGGACCAGCCAGGTCCGCGGCGCCACACCAGACACGTACCGGACTCGCGGCAACACGTGCTACCGGCACGTGCGGTCTACGTGTGGTCGGTAGGAGCGATCCTGTGTGATGCTTAGAACTCCATATGGGCTGGCTTCCTGCTAGGGGAAGCCACGCATTCAGTGTGGAGTGGGGAAACCGCCTGGCGGCGGGGAATGCCATCTAGCGGCCGTAGAAGGAACTGCTATTTGTGATATCTGGCCGGGAGAGGCGCTGGTGGACTTCAGTACAAAGTGATCTGGTGTGCTGAGGGGCCGGTGCGGGCGGTGACAGGGAGCTGGACGGTGGGCCGGCCGCCTCCCCTGCGCTCCGGCGCTAGTGGAGGACGGTGAAGCGTCTCTCGGAGACGGGATTGGCGCGGGCCGCTCGCCGGGGGCGCAGTGAGGTGTCGACGTAACACGCCGTGTAGTGTATCGCCCGAGTGCCGCGGCACTCCCTAGAGTACTCGGTCCCCGCGCGGGGCATGCTCGTAAATTCGTGGACGTGTTTGTATGATAGGTGTTTAAGTAGGTAAGCGCGCCCTGTGCAGAAATTTTGTGTACAGCTGTGCAATGGTTGGCCTGGGAGAATCCCAGAGCTCGGTTTGTGAACATCTATACCACATCGCTGGCATGACAGTGGAAGCATTATCTTGGACGAAGGTTACCGCGCGGGTGCGCAGGGACTCGCGTGTAGATTACGGCTTCTTAGCTGACGTGATGCCCACAGAGGCGAACGCGTGTAAATAGCGCAGGTTTCGAACAGCCGGCAGGACCGGCGAGTGTGGCTGCGTGTACGATTGTGAGACTGTGTGTGTATATTTGTAATAGTGTTTTATTTCGTTCTGTGTGGCCATGGCCGGTGCGAGCGGACGGTCGCGGCTCCCGGCCCGGTGCCGATTCGGCTGTTTCTGCTCCGACTGCGGCTTAGGGCGCCAGAGATCCGGCTTTGGAGGTGCCCGAGCTGCCAGCGCGCGTTATCCATACGGTGGATTAAAGATGTATATTTTGAGTGCATGCCGCGCGACCGTGGCGCCCCTGGCGGCCGCGGTGGAAGCTGAAGGGTGTCCCGGCTGTGTGTCGTCGCTATTTTTGGCAGTTGAAAACACGGTGCGGTGACGGAAACTGTATTTTTCATCCCTCTGACTCCTCCTCCTGATAATGAATTGTTCATGGATTGGTCAGAAATTCATTTGGTCAGCTATTCACTCATCCCGTCAACACTTGGGTACAGGGCGGAAGGCGCGGGAGAGAGACACCATTAAATGTCAAAGCAGACTTGATGGTGAAGTTTTACGGGAGTTTAGTGGTAACTGGTATGGCTTGCTTTCCAGCATGTTGGGTAACCAGATTGTGTAGTTAGGTTGTCGGTGCTTGCTAGAAGTTGTCTAGTTCTGTAATGTAATGTAATAAGTTTTTGGTGAGCATTTACATTAAACAGAATGAGGATGTGGTCGACACGCTGCCCTTAGAACGTTGACAATAGGTTTTGTAGATAATGCGTACCAGTTGTGCATAAAAGGTAGATATAAGTATGCCTACCGTTCAAAGTGATGAGATAGTAAGTAAGTAAGTAAGTAAGTGATGAGATGAAGGAAGAAAAGTGAGACACATTGAAGCGTGACTCAGCACATACACCTCAGAAAAGATGCACAATATTTGAGCCGTAACTTGCAATAATTTGGGTATAGCAGCTATAATTCTGACGGGCATATTGGTCCCAGTTGGTTGAAGGTTCAGATTCGGAAGCACTGCATAGACGCTAATGAATGAGACCGATGCACGTTATAAATATAACTGTCAGTTGCATAGCGATCTTTTTGGTGATGACTATTTGTGAAGCGCGGTAAGGTCGGCGGACGGCGCGAATAAGACGGGCGACGGAATTCACTACTTCGAAAAACTGATCGACCGAAATATTTCAGGTGTCGTGACGTCGTCTAATTGAGATGAAATCTCCTAAGGCTAATTGGAGCGGGATTTCGAGTCATGCGTGTCTCATCGCAGAAGCAGTGCAATCGTGAAGTGGCGCACAATAGCCAACAGAAAGGATTACCAGCTGATTAGAGTGGGAACTAATGAGTCACTGACCACCTCATCCACACTCAGCCTCGCACTCACTCGCCGATCTCGCCGACACACGGACGGTACCCAATACTAGAGCAGCTCGAGCGAGTCGCTTACAACGGCAACCGGCCACCTGATAGCTGTCTGAGTTGGGAGGGATAACACCCCGCATCAAATCGATAAACATCCAGTGTAGGTACGAAGTTTAATACCTATAACCTAACGGCTAGTGAAGGCTGAGTAAAAGCGAAAAGCTGGTAAACAGCTATTAAAAGCTTACGTGTGTTGCAAGCAGACGGCAATCATTAGCAGCTGTCAACAACTGCCAGCAACTGCCCCCAACTCTCACTGTCACTAAAACACAGCGACTATTCTGCCAACAAATGTCTGGTAACTAGCTAGCGGCGACTGCCCATCGAAAAGCCGCCGGCAGACCTTACCGCTTTTGCGTTACCGGTACCGCGCTCCGGAACCAAAAACTCGCCCATGTACTTGTCACTACCCCATTGTGAGTACTGACAATGGCGTGGGAGCGCTGCACAGCCCCGCAGCCCAGCCTGCCCGCCCTCACAGCCCCGCGGCTCCACAGCTCTCCCATTCCTGCAGCTTTGCCAGCCAACACAGCTCTGCCAGCCGCGTTCGCAGCTCTCGATTGTTTCAACAGCGGCACAAACGAGTTCAGGCAAAATGTTCCGGTGGAGAGTTGATGCACAGTGTGGGCGGTCGGTCCGTAGTGCGCAGCTCCCAGGATTTTTGGAACTCTTATCGTTGCGATCTGGATACTGGGCTTTGTTGTGGCTGCTGCCGGGGTTTATATTTAGCTTGTGTAATGTTTTCGTTGACGTTTTAGTAAAGTGAGGACAGAAGCGGTTGTGTGTCGTGGCGTCATAAACTTTGAATAGCTCTTACATTTTGCCCGATTCTGCTTAACATTGGATTTCAGGTGCACAGAGACTACTTCTCTGACATATTCCGGTTATTCTGTTTCTTTTTTCGATAAACTCAAAGTTCTGGGTTTACCTATCATGGTTTAAAAAAATCAGTTTTTGAAAAATATTGGGCCAAAATCCATAATTGAAAAACGAGATAGTCACTTGAAAGACAAAGTAGATTCACGTAAATACTTTTTGTAACGTCTTCATTCCTTAAAAACTTATAATGTTAGAGGCGTTTGAGATTTTGCAGCTTTTGAAGCGAAAATGGCGTGACATGACGTCATTAAAACGTCATTTTCTCAAATATTTTCGACGAATTTCGCTCCAATTTTCAGGAAACATGTCCAATTAATGTATAAAAAGGTACTGAAAGTTGAACGTCACTAGCTTAACGCGTTTAGAAGTTTGTAGCTGAGTGTATTCGGTGCTTCTCCTGCGACCGTTCAAACCACACTGCCAACCCTCTCGCGCGACCCGGCGCTGCCACTACCGTGGCTCGGCGCCGCCGCCACCACATATGTGATATGACACCCCCTCTATACACATTTGTCAGTGTCGACTAGACGGCGTCCCCCGCAGGCGCGTCTGGGCCACGCGGCGTCTCAGCCGGTCACACAGAGCTATACCTACAAAGTTATTAGCGAAAAACGGGAGGGGTAGATTCTGTCCCCTCCCCCAGCGGAGTGGGGGTTGAGCTTTTAAATTAGCCGTTTCATTGATGTAGCTTGGGAGATTTATTTTTCAAACTGAGATCAGCTGACACTTCTGACCTGACCCCGAATAGCCTAGGTCCGAGTTGCTTACCTACATGCGCGAAAGCGATGTGGCCTAAAATGTTTCACGAGCATCTTATTGATGCTCACTCGCATACGCCATCTGCCAAAATATTCGCGAGGGAAAAATCGGGGAGTCCTCCCTACCGTCCTCCCTACCAAACCAATGCATTAACCCGCGCCCCAGTGGCGGTCTCAGCCAACTTCGCCCTAGTGAGGGGGGGGGGCATATGTTACCACCCACCTCTAACTCAAACTAAGAGGGCTAGAAAGACGCGGTAAAAAGCAGTCGATAGCTCTCAATGCGTACGTTTGAAAGTATTTCGGTCATTTTTCACCTTAGAGCAATATTGAGGTCACCAGAGGTCATCAAATGTCAAAATTTGCCAATTGTCATTATATTTTTCAGAAAACATGCCGCTATCTCAGGAACTATGGTAGCTAGAATAGCGCAGGGAAAAGCAATCGATAGCTTTTGAACTCTTCTTTTGAAAAGGTCCTTATCAATATTGACCTCAGGTCAACGGTTTGGCCTCCAGAGGGCAAAAAGTCCAAAAATAGCTGTTTTTACGAAAAGTGTTTTTCGACAATAACTTTCGACTAAAAAATGCCACGACATTTCTATTGCCAGAATCGTGTTCCTCTCGCCGAGACGCGTCGAATGAAGTATAATTTGACCTTGAAAGGTCAAGTTGAAAATTTGACCTCAGGTCAAGGTCATGACCTTACCGGAAAAGGTCATGTTGCATATCAGTCGATGCGTCTCAACAAGGCAAACACAATGAGACCATCCCCAGCGTTCTATCTCTTTCCAATCGCGAGTTATTGGCAAAAAACTGTTTGTAGCCTCAAGTGACCTCGGATGACCTGTCTAGAGGCTATCAGCAAAAATGACACCTTGGTCATCACGAGTGGACTAAAACATTGTGATTCTGAAATATTTGGACTGTTCCGATGCGTACACACGGGTCTAGAGGCATTTTCATTTTTCTCCATTGACTTGTAATGGAAAGGTTTCGCCACTGACCTGACCTTAGGTCACGGATATAAAAAATCCGAGATATACAAATTGTAGGCGCCCATAACAGCATGCAATCCACCAAGTTTGAAACCTTTCTGACAAACACTGCAGGCTGGACATGATTGCAAACTTTTTTTAGGCTTGGTCAGTTAAGTTGACCTGGTGACCTGACCTGACATGACCTGGAGTCAAAAATTTAACACATTGTCCAAAATTGATGTACCAAAAGCTACCCCAAGCGGCGCGGCGCTATGCGCCGCGGTTTTTTATTCAGACGCAAAAAACGCGACAGGGTGGTAACATATCCCCCCCCCCCACTGGGGCGAAGGTTAATTAATTCGAAATACGCATTTACTGAGCAAATTCCAATTAGCCCTCTTTTTTCTAGGTAGAACGTCAAATATTGCATCCCTCACCACCGCTGAACTCACCAAACAAAGCGCCTTTTTTAGACAGTCGCTCTCCCGCCCAGACCCCTCCCCCCCCCCATGGACCGTCTGCCCTGTCCCACCTACCCCCCGATGCAGCACTGCAATGGCGATGTCGGATGCCCTGGTGCTAGCGGAGTTCAGTTGTCGACCCAGCTTGGAACACCAAGCATCGGAACCCACTGCAACTATCGGTGGCTGATTCCCGGTGAGTGTACATTATTTTACATTGAGCTTTCCGTTTGTTTTTACCTCATGAATACAAGCTTAACAAAACGCTTATTTTGGAAGTTGGAATGTCCCACTCATGTTAAAAAGCCATTGAAATCTTTCAATTTTGTAGTATTTGAATGAAAACAACTTTCCTGCTCCTTCAAAGTTACGCATTTGCCTACAGACGCATTGAACTACCATGACAAATCGCGTGTATTTTCTTACTTATGAAGGGCGATTTCGTTATTCATTCCTTGCATTAGACGGTTTTACGATATTGTGAGCCATCTTATTTGCTGTAAAATGTTCAGCACCTACAATAGTTGACATATGCACTTCTTTTCGGCATTTGCAACGTTTATATGCATGCATGTATGAGTATGCGTAATGCGTATTTGTGTGTTTCAGAGTCTTGTCGGCCGCTTCTGGCTGAATATGGCTGCTTTTCCGCGGGCATACAGTTGTTGGCCTTGCTCCTACTGTTTTTATCCAGCTTCAGCGAACGAGTCTTCGCAAAAGAGCAGCATGAGAGTAAGGTTTCACCCGGCAACGTACTGCACCATTTAATGTGCTTCCAATAATGAGTAGACTTTCGACAACGTTCGATTTGCGTCCTCTGAAGGTCATTGAAAGCTACATTGATTAGTCACGTTTTAAATCTTTTGAAGAAAAGCTCCTCTAGAAACTTTTCATTATATGTGTTCACTAGATCGCTTTCTATGTTCAGCCAAGAATATTCGAATCACCAGGTACCTACTTTAGATTTATGGTAGCTTTTGATAGCTACCAATTACCATAAAATAATTACATTTATTGATATATCGGACCGTTCTCTAGCTTGCTCCAATGGATAGGGTGTAAGTGCATGTAGAGCACGAATACGCTTTTGAACCATTGATCGCATACGTTTAGCATGCAGTGATCGTAGTGGGGCTCAAACTGAGCAAATAAAAGTAAGTTGAAACAAATGCTTTAAAGCGTTAATCCTAATTGACAGGCAAACCTATGTTCTGTAGCACAATAATACCAATACATCACTGTTCTTCAAGTTACTCTGTCAAGATTTTGACACGTTATGCCTTTTTCAGCTGGCTGCAAGCTATTCTTGGTAAGTACCTACTTGCGTATACACATAACAAAACCTTTTCGTTAGAGCCATTCTGATAGTGTGAGCACACAAATTAACGGCATTATTGATAATGAGTGTTTTTCATACTATTTACTTATCTGAATTTATAAAACAACAACGCTTGGGATACCCAACATATTCAGTTGTTCACAAAGCATACATATAGTGGCGCTCTAACAATTTGCGTGGCTATCAAATGTTGAATGAGATAGTCTCCGCGTACGGACTTTTGTTTCTTTGTATAATGAGTACGTAGCTGTATTAAACTAACTTTGACTTTCCCAGGATGCTGTTCTCATTACCCCCACGACCTAGCGACTTACCAGAAGTGTTGCAAGATGACGGACTCTTGCAAGAAGCCGTGTCCCGGATATTCCATTGGAAACAAAGGTGAGGCATATGTAAAACAAGCCTCTTTTACAGTGCATCATATCGATGGAAACGCGTGCAAGCAGAAAACGGTGGCCTCAGTAACGTTTTTATCTATCATAAAAAAACTATTTAAAGTCACGAAGCTCCTACTGAAGCTGTGGTCAGCACAAACTTCATATCTACAAGACACCTTCCTTCTGGGAATTAAAATGGTGGTCCTGAACAACACGGCCGGGCGCAGAATTCTGTAACGGCTTCTTGTCAAAATCGTGGGTGCATTTCGGGGCTCTCTTTGGCTCTCCATGTTACAGTTAATCATTGCACTCGTCACTAAGACGGTGTGTCAGTCAGTAGCGGCGGAACACCTTCAATTAAGGGGGGGGGGCACTGCCGACTTTTGCTCCCATTCTTTCCATGCAACGCCCATAGAGCTAATGTTAAAATGCCAAAATCAAAGGGGACACGGTGCCCCGGTGCCCTCCCCGTTCCGCCGCCTATGGTGTCAGTGTTCTCAATTTCAGATGGGTTTCCCGGACGAACAGTGGTTGGTCAGTGGTCGGATGAACAGTGGAACAGTAGTACCTACTTAGGTGTCCCGCTGTCCCGCACCAGCGTCGTTGTTGTCGATTTATCATTGCTCAACTCAATCACCTCAAAGCTGCGAAAAAACGGATGCATTACGTTGTTGGCATGTCTTGTTAATAGCCCATGACGGAATGGCGTCGCTGCAGGCTGTTTCTACATGGGCCAGTGGTTCCCGATTGGTGGCATCATGGACATAGACGCAAAAAAGTGTCTATACATCCGCTGCTGCCCCTTCTACGACAAGGGCTGCCAGCTGACGACGGCTGTGATCGACTCAGTCGGGGAGAGGTGCAACTGTGAGTACATTCGGTGCAACTGTGAGTACATTCGGTGCACTCACAGTTGCACCGAGCGCAGCGAAACTTAAGTGCCTAATCATTCCTAAGTGGCGGCTGCGCAAAGAGAAATTTCCACGTTGACCAATGTCTTCAGTTATGAAACTGGGCCATTTGCCGACTTATTACAAATCTCAATAGCAGCTGTTCTAATTGCCACCCGATCCCGTCTTCACTGTATACAGGTTGTGAACTGGACGGCGTTCTGTACAACCAGGGAGACGTTATCACCCTGCCGAACTGCGAGCGAAGGAGGTGCAGGAGGGGCCAGTGGCAGGTGCTGGGAGGACCACCCTGTAAGTACATATGTACGAGTGCAACTGGCTCAATATTGTGACGTACCATCGTCTTCGTGGTGTCTTAGCTAGTGGTAGTTCCTGCAACCATGGACATTATACTCCGTGCCTTTGTTATCCACTTTTGTATCCCCTTTGCGCAGTATGGATAGTGACGTCAATGACGTTGTTTGATCCACATCCCTTTGCGCAGTTTGGAGAGTGACCTTCGTTGAGCTGACCTGTTGGTCCGGCCGGCAGCGCAGCCGGTGTGTCCGGCGGATGCTGTTTCCTTCGAGGACTCCTGTGTGATTGCCGAGAGCCATTGGCTCAACAACGCCGAGGCCGCCGAGTTGTGCAAGAGCAAGGGCGGTAGCCTGCTGGAACTGGACGCAGAAGCGCTAGCCAGTGATGCTGTGCAGAAACTCAGAAAGAAACTGTACCCGTGCGGTGGCGTCTGGTTGGGAAGCGTGGAACGTGAGTCCGAGGGAACATGGAATCTCTATAGAGACGGCACCGGGGGTTATGAAACTGCGAGGATAGTCACCAGAGTAATAAAGTCTGTGAACAACAGCATTTTCTAGCTGTTCATCTCATGACGATAATTTGTTATTGGTATGATTCACAATTGTAGTTGCCTATCAGACAGTTCATGCAGCGAAATGAGGAAAGGCTAAGGGCGCACAAAATAGAGCTGTTAGCCTTTACGGGCACATGTAAACGTGTTTGAGCAATGCTTATATTTGCTCATTTACATATTTAAGGGTGTAACATATTTCATCTGTTAGGACATTTATGTCCACCCAGTCAACAAAGTAGTAATTTTACAATATACAACCAGTATAACGCCTTTTGGGGTGACTAACGGAGCGAGCGAGAGGGTGAGCCTTGCACGTGCGAAATTTCGAGGGGGTACCTCCAGCTGACTTGTGCACGGCACCCTACTAACCGGTCTCTAGCGATGTGCCAAATTTGAGCATAATCGGCCCAGCCGTTCTCGAGATCTGGAAGCGGCACCCTGCACGTGCGCACGTGCAAAATGGGTCCCAACTGACTTTTGCACGACACCCTACTAACCGGTCCCTAGCCATGTACCAAATTTGAGCGCCATCGGTCCAGCCGTTCTCGAGATCTGGAATCGACCCCTGCACGTGCGCACGTGCAGCAGCACCCCAACTCCGGCACATGGATATGCATTGCCTAGTGGGTGCCTACCTGCATGCCAACTTTCAGCGCAATCGGCCAAGTAGTTACCGAGATATTGCAACAATTGCAAAAGTGACACCTCTTCGTTTTGCACGTGGCACGTGCATAAGGGTTCACCCACATGCATCGGGAATAGTCCAATACTTGGTAGAAAGAATGAAGCTACCCTACAAAAATTACCGCATGTAAATCGGCCAAGTGGTTGCTGAGATATAAGCGTCGCAGAATCGTGACCACGGCCGGCCGGCCGGCCGGCCGCTCATACTCAGAAATTTCCGTTATTCTACGTAAGACTCCGCTCGCTTCGCTCGCTCCGTAAAAAGCAGTATCGCTCGTTCACTGACCGTGTCTGTTTCAGCCGAGGAAGAGTTGTGCGGCAGTCTTCCCCCCGGCGCGGACGCTGAAATCCTGCTCAGCTGCCAAATGCGTCTCAAACCCGTCTGTGTCATCCCTAAAATAACCTGTGGCCAGGAATTCTGTCAGGTCGACGGGCAAAAGTACGATAACGGCGCTGAGATTAAGCAAATCGACCAGTGCACGGCGATTGTCTGCAAAGATGGCTTCCCGGTCACCGTCATAGACGAAACATGTAAGTGGACGTAGGAGAGTTGAACCGGGCGAAACAGCAGCCGCTGTCGGGGGAGAGGGGCCGGGCGAGGGGGGGAGGTTGCAATGCAGACTGCTGTCACACTGCCTGAGTGCCTGCTATCAGTAAGGCATTTGCTTCATGACAACATTCCTCCGTTCCTCTTGTCCCTGTAATGAATGTATTTGTACTTCATACTATTTCGATCTTGTATCGATACCCTCTACGGTACATAGCCATATCTTCACACGTGAATCAATCCAATTTGTCTACATACATATATGGCATGACATTTTCTGTTATTGTACTTACCTATATTGCAGCCTTATTGATCCTATGACGTCATTTTCAGGCTGCCGCGTGGAGGGTGTGGACGGGATAGATCTGGTTCCCTCCGGCACCAACGTCATGATCGGCGACAAAATGTGCACGTGCAGAGAGGGTGCTGTCGACTGCTGCGGCGGACTGCCCTTGTGCAAACTGCCCGGCAAGGAGGCGGAACCGGAAATCCCCGACACACCCGAGGATGCAGAGGGCTAAATTCTGGCCGTCCACGAAATGAACTCTGGCTGTCCATGAAATTGAACAGACTGTGTGCTTTAGTCTATTTTCTGTTTCTTTCACTCATTGGGTGTTTCCATGAGACATTCTTCATTTTGGTTGTTAGTTTGTGGTATGAAAATACCTATACGTTAAGAGTTAGTTTGTCGTGTGTGCTAGCTCTTACGGGAAACATTCCGAGTATGTTTTAAGTGGTAAGGTTTTAGCTCTTTTCTGAGGGTCTACAGATTTTTATAGAAAGGTTGACAGGCTGGCTCACCAACTGCACTGCACTATTTGTGCGTGAATAAAACGGCGTTTTTGTGTTACATTGGCACCCTCTGTTTATGGTGTCGTTACGTCTTATAATCTACCTGCTCACTGCTGATTTGACATATTCAATAAATTATTTCCGGAATCGCAATGTCTTTTGGTAGCCTTCAAACGGTCGGTATAGGTAGGTACGGCTCTCGCGAGATTAAGCGGTAGGTTTTGCACTTTTACATTTCCGGTTATATATCAGAAACTAATCGATCTACGATGAAGCCATTTTACACGATCATGGCTGGCTTGTTACCCAACAAGTCGATTGCATATTCAACACTTAAAAGCTTAAGACGACGAAGACATAGCCTGAAGTACACTAAATTTTATAGGTGCAAAACCTACCGCTAAAACCCGGGAGACCTGTACATACTTCTGACCTTGCTGTGGTCTAGGATAATCAGAAGCTTCTAAGAGTTTAAGAAGATCAAGTTACATGTAGAGCCCTCTGCAAACTGCGTGGTAGGTGTTCTTTTTTCGACAAGAATAACGCGAATACTATGCTATCGGTCACTCAAAAATCGTAACAGCAAGAAGCGCGAGACTCCGCACCTTAGATTGGCATTATCATCGTGTTCATTTTCCATTAAGTTTGGCAACAAAACCCAAAAGTGTATATCTGCCCCCAAAACAAACTCTTGCATTTTACTGCCACACAAGGCGCATACTTTGTTTAGTGATAGACACATTCGAAGGAGTGGAGCATGGCGCATCTATTTGCAGTGTGCTCCGACCGACTGATAACATAGCCTTTGAGCTATTATCAGTTTTGTCGAAAAAAGACTACCTACCATGCAGTCTGCTGAGGGCTGTACATATAATATTCTGTTTAACGCTATGTAATATACATAGGAATAGTATAATCGCTAATAAGATACATGCATCACAACTGGATCGGTATTAGGCAAGGTGTTCCGAGTCGACTCACAGCTGGCCAGATATCATGTATGGATTGACATTTGCCAGCACTCCAAGTCCACATACACCCGTGGCTATTCTGTGCTGATAGTCTCAATATAAAAACAGGTAAAAAGCAGAATGGGTAAAAACAGGCAAAACATCAGGCACACATGCACATCATAAAGCCTACACTCCTATGCCCACCTCCCCTCCCACTACACATCCCTATTACACTTTCATCTGGGTCAGGGTCATAATTTTGTAGAACATGTGTGAATTGGAAAAAGCTTCGTCGCGATCAGCAGTGTTTTTTCGAATCATTTGCAAAAAAACAACGAGGAGGCCATCGTCCCCCCCCCCATAAGGCTAGGGTCAATAAAGCATACTTAACCCTCGCCAGGCGAGGGCCTTTTTCATAACACGGACGGCGAGGGGAGTTGGTACGACCCCCCCCCCCCTCTGGCGATTGGCTCCTATGGCACTAGTAAAAAACGCCAAATGTATAGGGTAGGTGGGTCCATAAAAGATCTCGCCCCTGTGAAAGTTTGGTGACTCTAAGTCAATATTTAGGGGGGTTTTGGGGGGTATGAGTGCAAAACATTTGCTAAAACATGTAAAAGGTTTTTCGCTTATAACTTTTTACCTAGTAAAGATAGAGCGAAAATAAAAGCACCAATGAACTCAGGACCTCCGTGCGCATCGAATGATATACTTTGTTACCAATTTAAGTGAACTCTGGAATTCAGTTGCCGCTAAGCTAGTCCAATTTTCCCCTGGCCTTGTACCGGTTTTTGTGACCTGATGACCTGACCTGAAAAGACTGGGACTTCAAATTTTCAGGATAGGTGCGAAAAGGTTGCCCCAGAGGGTATGCCAAATTTGGCGGCGCTACGCTCTGCCGTTTGTACGTTATTTGCGAAAAACATTAGGGGGTTGCATCAACCCCCCTCGCCGGGCGAGAGTTAACCCGGCAGGCGGTTGGCCTCCCGGCCACCTTCCGCGCGGTGGGGGGGCATTTTTTTGCCCCCCCCCCTCCCCCGTATCTCCGAAACTACTGGACGGATCCGGAAAATTCAAACGGGGTTCGATACTCCTGTCAAATTTGTCGAAGGAAACCAAATTTCACTGACCTCGGGGTCACCGATGACGTCACAGGTCAGGTCAAAGATAAAATGTTTCACCGTTCACGGGGCTTCAAGGGAAGCGCTATAACACCGAGTAAAACGCATTTTTCGAAAATCGGCGATAGGGTGTCAGTTGTCTAGTACATGTGTTGCTATTAGAGGTCACTGGTCATACCAGGTCAGATCACAGGTCAGGTCACCGAAGGTCACCAAGGGTCACCACTCACCACATGAACCCAACTTTACTAAGGTTGTGCGATGCATGTTTTATGGCCAGTTTTTTTTTTCATTTCCAACTCAATGGTGTTGGTTATAAGACTATCAGGTACGGTTTAGGTCACTTTCTGGTGGAGGTCAGGTCAAGGTCAGGTCAAAAAAGGTCAAATTTCAAAGTTGATATTTCTGCATAAAACGGGTATTGATTCGATGCAGCTCGTCACGGGGAGTCTAATGGTGGTCTTTGTTTTGCGCTACGAGACCTAGAATTGCTAAAAAGTGAGTTTGAAAATTTGACGTCATCAATTTTGAACAGTTTTTTTTCGCTATAACTTGGCCAAAAAAAGAGGTATCGATCTCAAATTTGGTATGTAGATAGAAGGCGGTAGGGACTATCACATTTCTACCGTTTTTTTTTCGAAATTCAAAAAAAAACTTTTTGGATTTTTTGGCCATTATATTCAAAAATTCTATTTTTTATTTTTGGAGGTCAAAATCCAAAAAGTTCAAAAATTCGAGATAGCACTTTGTAGCCCTCTAAATTCTACACCTTTTATGTTGAAACATTTTTCTGTATCTCTAAAGCCGTAGGCCTGACAGCTCTTCTCGCGAAACCTTTTTTGGGTCGAAAATGGCAGAAATGACGTCACTCTGACGTCATTAGCGTCCAACCTGTCATAGCCTTTGGTTTTTTATCACAATGTGCAATAGCTATTCACGGTGTAAGGTGTATCGTTACGGAGCGAGCGAAGCGAGCGTAGTCTTTCCTTAGATTAACGGAAATTTCTGAGTATGAGCGGCCGGCCGGCCGGCCGGCCGTGCGGACGCTTTTGCGAGGCTTATATCTCAGCAACCACTTGACCGATTTACATGCGGTAAATTTTGTAGGGTAGCTTCATTCCTTCTACCAAGTACTGGACTATTCCCGATGCATGTGGATGACCCCTTATGCACGTGCCACGTGCAAAACGAAGAGGTGTCAGTTTTGTAATTGTTGCAATATCTCGGTAACTACTTGGCCGATTGCGCTCAAAGTTGACATGTAGGTAGGCACCCACTAGGCACTGCATATACATGTGCCATGGGGTGCTGCTGCACGTGCGCACGTGCAGGGGTTGATTCCAGATCTCGAGAACGGCCGGACCGATTGCGCTCAAATTTGGTACACAGTTAGGGACCGGTTAGTAGGGTGCCGTGCACAAGTCAGTTGGGACCCATTTTGCACGTGCGCACGTGCAGGTTGCTGCTTCCAGATCTCGAGAACGGCTGGGCCGCTTGTGCCCAAATTTGGCACATACCGGTTAGTAGGGTGCCGTGCACAAGTCAGTTGGAGGTACTCCCTCGCAATTTCGCACGTGCAAGGCCCACCCTCTCGCTCGCTCCGTTAGTCGCCCCAAAAGGCGTTATACTGGTGGTATGTTTATTTTCGCCCGCCTTTTGACATTTAGTTTATATAAGATGTAACGCTATAATTTATGTAAGGTGTATCGCGGTGTAAGGTGTATCACGGCATGTTTTTTTTCGCCCGCCTTTTGACATTTAGTTTATATAAGATGTAACGCTAGGGGGGAAGTTATGTAAGCTGTTTCGCGGTATGTTTATTTTCACCCGCCTTTTGACATTTAGGAATACGTCGAGGTCAGGGGCGTCGCCGACGGGGGGGTCGGGGGGGTCGTGACCCCCCCACTCTTGAAAACTGGGGGTGTCGACCCCCCACTTTTTGCGATGCTGAGTATGCTTTTTTAGCTTTTATGTCAGTGAAGCAGGCGTCAGCAACACCAACAAATACATCAGATTCAAAATCGCTTCAAGAGCTCCCTAAAGCCAATTAGCCAATTACCTAAAGGTCAATTAGCTGTGGGCGGGGAACACCAGCACAACAATGTTTTTAAGTAGCCCCCATCCTAGTATACCTTTTTATCCCTCAAAGGATTGGACGCGCCAAAACTGCCCCGAGCGTTCGTCTGATCGTTTAAAAAAAATGGTCGCAGTCGATTCGTCGGATCAGTACCTAACTACAAAACTACAAACTAGCCTCAGCCCCATGGCTACCGTCACAACTAGCTGTACAGTGCACATGTAGGGGAAAGGGAGTCAGATGGAACCGTCTCGGGCTTTCGCAAAGAAGTCGCGCAAAAAGGAGCCGATTGCAACAAAACTTCCGGTGCGCTCGAGTTAATCACCTACTCAAAATAAATCGATATCCCTGATTCAAATAAAAATGACCTTAGTTCACTTTTTCATAACGTGCTTTTAATTGATAGGGTAGTTTTTGGAGCTGATTTTGAACTTAGCGCCCATCTGAACATTTAAGAAGTAGTTGTGTTGCTTATTCATATAGCATGCTAGGAAGCAATCGGTGGTGGTCATCCACTATTAGGTACCGGTCGATCTGACCTGACCTGATCTACCCCAAATGCATGGAGTCATCATCTTCGTTCAAAACTAAGATAACATTCGTAATCAGAACCTCGAAAAACCATCACAACTTACATTCGTTAAGTTCTAGCAGGTCCAGAGTTTCTCTACTTATTGGCGATGACCTGAGTCCTGAGATGACCCGAAAACTTGTAAATGGGTACCATCGGCTTTCTCTCGTCACGGGCAGCATGCTCTTTTTTCCGCAAACCTGTAGATCGATCAGGGGTCGAAAGCATGCCTCAGCGTTAGTTTAGTATACGTTAAATACGTTAGCGACTGGGAAACCACCAATAGAAGGGCTACAGTGAAGCAGAAAACTATTCGATAGCTCTTTTAACGCTCTTTCGCTAGCTTCGCGTTAGATTTCATCTCAGGTCTATGTTTGGCCCATAAGAAGGCAAACAGCTAACTGGACAGATTCTGCCGAAACATCTG